TCCTAGAGGAACATACGGCTTCAGCCGTACGTCTCCAATGCGTTCGGTTCTCTGTTAGAGTCTTCACCTGCCTCCATGTCTACCCACACGTTTTCATTTCCTCTTCACATGACCCCCTCCAAGTCAACTTTGCACTGACGACCAACTCGCCGCTTCCCGTTCGGGTTCCACTTGAGCGATGGCTTGTCTAGTGATGTCACTTGATGCATTGTTTCCTCAGAGTATGGCCAATCCATCTCCATTTCTTCCTGCCTATTTATTTCACAATCGGTTCTCGCTCCCAGAGATCCCTGTTACTAATCTTTTCTGGCCGGCCATCTGATCTCGAGTATTGAGCGAAGACAACTGTTAATGAAGGTCTGTAGTTTGTTTGAGATGCTCTTTATGACGCGCTGGCCAAGTCTCTGATCCGTATGGTGGGTAGCACTGACTTCACATTGAAGTTGAAAATCCGGATGTTATTTTTGATGGTGAGTGTTGTTGACCTCCACACAGACTTGAGAGTAGTGAAAGCTTGTCTTGCTTTTCCGATTCTTGCTTTGATATCCTCGTCAGTTCCGCCTGTAGTTGAAACGATGCTTCCAAGGTAGGTAAAAGAGGTTGTTTCTTTCAGGTTCCTTCCATTTATGCTGATTGTTGTCTGTTGTTGTTCTTGCCCAGGAATCTTCATCACCTCTGTTTTCTCTATGTTCACCTGAAGTCCTATCTTTGATGTTTCTTCTACCAACTTGTTGCTTTCCGCTTGCATATCTTCCAGTTTGTGGGAAATCAGACGTATATCATCGGCAAAGTCCAGATCCTCTAAGTTTTTGTATGAGTCCATTTTATGCCTGTTTCCTCATTGCTCGCTGTTTGTCGCATTATCCAGTCTACTGCAATCAGGAAAATCATTGGCGATAGTAGGCAGCCAGCCTTGTCTTACTCCTGTCCTCACTTCGAAGGACTGACTGAATGGTTTCCGCATACGACAGTGTACAGAAGTACAGCAGTTCAACTTGCCACGCTCCACGCAGTGCACAAAGACCGAAGAAAGAGACAGTGAAAACACTCAAGAGAAATGCGAGGGATAAAGAATGAGAACATGGAAAAATAATAGGGGTTCAGAAGATATTGGCAAATCACAGAGAGCGAATGCATCTGCACCTTTGAGAACGATTTCTAGCCATATCTCCTAAGTACAGAGAAGCGCAATAAAGACTTCCCAATTGTATATAACTTTAAAATAACCTTAACGTTAAAAGTAATTTACAAAAATTACTATCCCTAATGGGTTCATCAAAAATGTTGATTGGTGTAAAATCTGATTACTTACGACTTCATCAGAAAATTGAACTCTGTGTTGAAGGGACTTAAACTAGGAGGGAAAAGGTGTCCTTTGCCCCCTCCCGCCCCGGTTCAAACTTGAATATATTTCTTCTATTAAATATTTAGGCATTATAATTGACAATAATACTTAGTTCTTGAAGGGTAAAAATGAAGACAAATCTGTGATTGTGCCTGAGAACTAGTTACTTGTTTCTGTATGAGTACTCTTATAGACCCCCTGAATAACCTAATTCAGAGAGTACTTTAAAATGTGGAAATATCCGTTCACCTAACTGTGAATTATTGTTTGAAAGTGTCGTCTACACTAGTATGCTACTTGTATCTGTTAGACGAATATTTTTTTTCCTATTCCTTCACTTTCCCAGTGGAAAATAGGGGACTTAAAGATAGAAGCTTGAAATTTCTGTAGCAGTGGTGATTATTTTATTTTCCAGGATGAAGTTGCTAGCCTCATGCCCAACCTTCCTTCTTTACCAGTCTTACTACTGGCTTAGTGAGGTAAAAGGGGGCGTCCGTGACCGGGGATCGAACCCCGGACCACCTGCATGGTCGGCGTGGTCGTGTTAGATGAATATGAGTATCAAAAAATCTTTGAGGAAATATTTCTTCATCCACTATCTGAATGCAGGGGATAAGTGGATGATCATCATAACACACTAATCTTTTAACTATCATCAGTTTAAAGTCATCTTCAAATCTTGTTTTTTAACTGTAAGGTATAATTAAATATATTGCTGTTACTATTACTCTTACTCTTACTCTTAAGCATAGTCTATTTATTGTTACAGTTATGAATGAAACATGCATAGAACGTAGAAAAGAAATCTGGTTATTTCTCTAGGGAGATAGTCGACAAGGATGGAGAATAAATCACTTAAATAGTTCCCTGTTTCTTTTATCCCCATTATTAATAATGGGACAATAATAATGCTAAATGCTAAAAATACCAAAGTGTTAATGACCCATTTTCATCTCACTGATGAAGAAAATAGTAATTATCCCCGTCTCTCTGTCTCCCAGTCTCTGCGTGTGTTTAGGTTCAACACTGGAGATTGATAAAGTGTAACAGATAAGGTGCGCTCGAATGATGAACAAGTTAAATAATCCAACTGAAATAAGAAAGTAATCTTGAATGAAACTTATAATTTTCTCACAATGAGTTAAAATAGTTAAAAAGTATTACAATTATACTCCACCATCAGGGATATATATATAGGGATTATAATAACTCGAATAAGGTGATCATCATAATTTATAATGACTCAGTTAGTTAAATCATTACAACATTTCACAAAATATATAGGTGACATTTCTCCATCAAGTGAGACATTTAAAAACACTGACAGTTGATATGTGTGTCAATGACATATGAAAGGAGTATTTTAACATTATTACTTTAGTGAACTATTGAGTGCATTGTCTATCTAGTTTCAACATTGAACTTTACACCGATGTGCAGCAGTTCCAATCGCCATACTCCCTCCTTGTAGCACACAAAGCCAGCGAAGAAGAAAGTAAAAAGAAACGCTAAATAGAGACAGATAACAGAGATATGAGGCAAAAAGAATAGTAATATCGAAGAACAACATGGTTTTATTGGGTATTATAAGTCACAAGGAGTGGATGCATCTGTGCCATTGAGGCAGATTTTGAGCCATATCACCAATTGTCTCCAGTCTCCACTGGTGTTTACCGTCCCGAAGACTCCAACCAGGAAGCCAGTCTACACCTTCCTACGTGGCTGACTGGCTTAAACTAACTGTTGTGGATTTCATTGATTGGTGAAGCCATGTTTTGGTTTGACCACTACTGGTTTTTTCCAACCTGATCCATCCTATGTCAGTTAACATTGCCCGTCAAGGAAGGTGATGGCTAGATATGCATGCGTAACACATGTTCTAACCACCTCAGTCGATGTCACTTCACAGCCTCGTCTATTGATTCCCCCTCTTTACTTAGCACTCGACGCCTAACCTGGATATTACTCACCCTTTTATACCATTTCACATGGGAGATAGAACGCAGGTACCTAAGATCAAAGACAGCTAGCCAGCCTTTTCATGTCTTCCACTCTTAATGACCAGGTCTCACAGCCATAATGAAGGAGGATGGAGAAGACTGCTGAGCAGTACACACGCCCTTTGGTCTACAGCCAGCTGGATATCACATCTACGCCAGAGACGGTGTAAACTGGCATATGCGAAACGAGACTTCTGTATCCGTGCTGAGATATCGTCAGCGATCAACCCGTTGGTGCTGGCTGATGCAACTTTCCAAATAGGTGAATTGGTCAACGTGCTCTACCACTTCACTCCCTATTTCTAAGCTAGGAGTCAGTGTAGTCCAGTCCTGTAACATTGTCTTACACTTGGTGGGAGCTAATTGCATGCCAAACATTCGCTGATTGCAACTCAAGGTGTTCAGAAGACTCTGCATTTTGCCAGCGTCTTCACCTACGAGAACTATTATTATCCACATGCATATTCTAAGTCAACGAGATTATTCCCTGGTGGTAACAAGTAGATCCCTGAGTGGCTGAAGTGAGCAGTTATGATTAATTCCATTAGTACATCTATAATGAAATTGAATAGAAATGGGGGTAGTGAGTATTCCTGACGGACACCACTAGTTGTCACCAGTAGTGGTTGTATTACAACAGTAGCATGCAGTTTTATGCAGTTATGCTTGTCTTCTTGATTAACATTTATGGTGTCAAAGCAGATCATATACTGTGATATGAATAATTACAGTCAAGATTTCACCTTCACGAACTGTGGAAATGGCAGATCAAGAATTTGCAAACTTGTGAATTTGATTTATGGTATTACCAGTTCACCCGTGTAGTCAGCCAGATATCGGGTACACCGCTGATAAATTTAGCCCCTGATGCGCGACACAGTCGTCTGTCTTGGGCGATTAGATTACTTCTATATGTGGTTGTCTGGTAAGCAACACTGGTTGATCATAAGTGGTACGAAAGTATTCATCTGAGTCAATCAGTCAATCAATTAACAGTCTATATTTTTCTGTGGAAGTAACCGTTGACTCGTGAATACCGCCCTTTTCAATAAAGATGAAATATTTATAACTTGAAATGACAAAAACACGTATACCAGTATTGTATTTTCTGACGAATTATAGTTTTGAATTTATTTTTATTATTACTTACTTTGCACATGGTCCGGGGTTCGATCCCCGGCCGACGCACTCCTTTACCTCGCTAAGCCAGAAATAATGCTGGTGAAGAGGAAAGGTTGGGCATGAGGCTAGCAACCCCATCCTGTAAAATAAACACTGCTACAGAAATTTCAAGCCACTAGCTTGAAGCTCTATGTTCCACTAGGGAACGTAAAGGAAAAAAAATTACATACTTTGATCCTCTGGCTTCTGAGTGGAACATAGGACTTCCAACTTGAGGTCTGAAGTTTCACTAACAAAAGTTACTTATTTTGTAAGGGATGGGGTTGCTAGCTTGGAGTGAAGCCCAACCCTACTTCTTTACTAGGGGATCACTTGCGGCCAAGCAACGTTTACCGGAGATCGAACCCGGAGCACATCATCAGGTCTGAACCACTGGAGAATAAGACATTTTAGAATATACAATGCATTCCTTGAATGAACATAATAAATAAATGCCATTTTATCAATCTTCTTTTTTATTTATCCCATTGCAGAATGTTTCCTATGACAGCGTTTCCATTGAATCCTGTTAACTGTGGTCGAACATCAACAGACTTAATATGGCCAAGTCCTGGAACACTTCAAGGCATTGGATCTGGATTGAACTGTGATCCATTGATGTATAACAATCATAATTCTTCATCATTATCATCACCATCAAATCATGGTGTAATAAATAATTCAGCCGGGATATTCAGTGGAGCGTCAAATTTTCTTTCACGACCCAACTATAACTGTGGTGTAAATCAAACCTATCGACTACAACAACAACAACAACAACAACAGAATTCAACAAATTATTTAAACGAAGAGATAACGAATCAATGCAATGACAGTATCGATGTTAGTGGTGTTAACGCCACCAGTAATACAGATTCACATTTGCCAAATGAAAAATCCCAAATAACAACTATAGCCAATAAATCATCAACACTGGTCGATATGACAACAAAAACGGAATGTTTGCCTCAAATTGGTAAATTCCCTACAACATTATCAAGTACAGAGAAGAGTGAAGCTCAAAGCGTTACAAATTATGACAGTTGGTCTCGTGAACACCGGAAAAAGCATAAAAAATCAAAAATGCATTCATCAGCTAATTCAGCTGAAAATGATTCCTTAAGAAGTAAGACAACATTATCGTCTACAAAGGCATCACCACACCCCATCTATGTAGATGAATCTGTTGATGGCTTATATCATAAGTTGAATGGAATTTCTGATGACATCACAGCATCAGTTAGTGGAGGAGTATTATCAGCTTCGAAGACAAGACCATCGGATATGAAGGAAACATCTGAAGACTATTCATCGAATGTTAATGAAGAGGATGAGGAGGAGCAGGCGGTGGAAGAAGCAGGAAATTATCCATTCAATATGTTTTCTACTCCAGGTCATAATAATAATAATCATAATAATAATTTCCCTGGTTCTATATCAACTGGTGATTATGATAATCGTTATAATGCTTCATCATTCCGACAATATGATCAGTGTCAGTCATCATCATCATCATTATCTCGTCATGATGAGAATATAAAACGTACATTGAATAATATAATTAATATGAATTATTCAGTAAGACCACATCATTCTCAGTATACAGAGAATTCAGGTATAGACGAAGAAACGTATAAAACAATGATAAATACAAGTAATCCTGATGATATTGTCACTTCATCAAGCAATCCGAGTAGTATTGAAAGGCGATTAAATAATCAATCAACAGAATTAGACTCAGACGCCTGGAACACGTCGATTCATTCACAGTATTCACAAAATATCCTGCCACAACAGTTGGCATCATTTTATTCAAGTTGTTCAAATGAGCTGGCTTTAAGACAAAGTTTATTATTCAATTCACATCAAAATCAAAATCATAGTTTGGAGACAGGAAATTATTCCATGTATCCCCATCATCATCAGCATCCTTCTCATCATTCTCATCCACATCAGTCTGAATCTGGACGTCATACATCAACATCATCTTCATCTCCTCCTCCCCCTCCTCCTCTTCCACCACTACCAGGGCCCGCAGCAGCAGCAGCAACAACAATGTCAACAATGCCAACCAGTATAGAGCATAATTCTTCCACTGGAATGAGTCGTAATGAAATGGAATTTTTAAGTAATTTCAATAAATTATCCTCTGATGAAGTGGTTAAATTTACTACTACTGCTAATAATAACAACAGTGAACCGAATGATATAAAAGTCGTTACAAAGTTCAATAATGCAATACAACAGCAGCAACAACAAGGGACAAGACGAATGATAAATGGTCCATTAGGGCAGAATAATTTAGATGTATGCAAGTTACCATATCAACAGCATCAACAATCACAACATCGACAAGGAGCTGCTGGTGGTGTTGGTGGTCAAATGATTGATGATATAAGCGCAGCATATCATTCAGCTGCAGCTATGGCAGCAGCTGCAGTAGTTGCACAAGCTGCAGTGGCTAGTGCAAATGTGACAGGTCATCAAAATCATCCTCACCTTCATCATCATCATCCCCATCCCCAACCCCATTCACATCCTCATTCTCATTCTTCACTTCAACATTCTATCCCACTAACACAACACCAACACCACCATCAACAACAACAACATTTGCAATCACAACAGCAACAACAACAACAACAATCACAGTTCACTGAAAGTGAACATTCCATTATGCATCCACATAATACAGAACAATATAGTATGAATACTAGTAATAATAGTAATGGTAGTAGTAGTAATAATAGTAATAATATATTACATCAATCACAATATAATAATATGATGAATCAAAGTCTAGGATTATTTCCTCTTATGAACAATTCGAATTCGTTGAATACAACAATACAAAGTATGAATAATAATAAAACAATGAAAAATAAAAAGCTTACAGTTACAGGTTAGTTAAAACAAAACAAAACAAAATAAAATAAAATGAATAATAATGACAAGTGAATTAGTTTCTGTTGCTATATTTATTATTCTCCTGTCTGTTTTTCTTGTAAATCCATAGGCATTTCTAGTACTCTGTCTCTATATGTGTGTGTACTTGATTGTTTACGTATCCATGGTAGTTGTAGGCATGTAGACGTCTTCTATGTGGTATTAATGCATATGGTAACAGTTTGGAATATTATTGACAGCTGAAAGGATTGTTTCAGAATGAATGATACTACGGTTTGTTTATTTTACATCCACTGGTAATGATGAAATATGTAAAACGGTCTATGACTTGTTTTTAGTCCTTCTGTTCTTCCTCCTGAATGTGGACAACTTAGACAGGGGGAGAATAAGACGTGAATTGAAGGTTCTTCACTTTATCCTCAGATGGACATTGATAATTCAGTTGTGTGTGTGTGTAATTAGCAAAATTTATACCGCTAATGGGGGAAATTCCTCAAGGTTCTCTTTGGAGACCCAAAATACACGGGTGATAAATGACAATAAAGAGGACAAGCATACTTGGTTGGTGATGTATTTGACATAGAGAAGACGGGGATGATGAAAATACGCGACAGTCGTCAACAACAACAACAATTACAAGCACCAATCAACATTATCAATGGAAGCAAAATGGAACGAGGTCAATGCCTTCCCTTATACAACCAGGCAGCAGGAATTAAGATGTGAAAACTAGTCAGGATCAGAAAGGCAAGACAAACCTTTATTACTCTGAGGTCAGTGTGAAAATCAGTTGGGTTAGAAACTTAATGAGTCGTGAAAAGGATTTCGAATAGGATACTGAAGACTTTTATCAATAGTTGCCTTCATTGGCTACATATTAGAGATAAAATGGCCGGCCAGAAAGAATTAACACACCAAGAAACTCTGGAAATGAAACAATCATCAAGAACATATTTTTCAACGAATATGTGGAAGAAAATGGAAATGGATTGGAATAAACACTGGGGAGACCGATGGGTTGTCCACCGCTCAACTGGAAACCGAATGGGAAATGACGAGTTGTGCTGCGGTCCAGGGATGAAAAGGGGGAGATCGTGTAAGAAGGAGATGGGAGCTTAAGGATAATTGTGGAGCAACTTGAAAAGGATTGAGGACGACAAGGTGATGTGGCGATGTGCTGTTGAAGCCCTATGTTCTACTATGAACCAGACTGAATAATAGTGCGTCCGTGGCACAGCGGTTAGGACTCTCACCGACCATGCACATGGTTCAGGGTTCGATCCCCTGCTGACGCACCCCTGATATCGATGGTTGGCCTGCAAAATTTGGGCTACTGATATGCCATGCTGAAAATTCTATACTTGTAGCAAAAATACGGTGTGGAATCAAGCTATAATCAAAATTTAAAAAAAAATAAAGTGAATAATAAATAGTATACTACCACTACTGATGTTAATGATACTTTGTTAAAAATACAACTAACTAGTTGGTTGTGGCATTTTTGTGACATTGTACACAGATCTTTTTTTTATTCCTTCACTAACCCAGTGGAACATAGGGCTTCAAGCTAGAGGCTCCAAGTTTCTTTATCAGTGTTTATTTTACAGGATGGGGTTGCTAGCCTCATGCCCAACCTTTCCCCTTTACCAGCTTTATTTCTGGCTTAGAGAGGTAAAGGAGTTCACCGGCCGGGGATCGAACCCCGGACCATGTTCACGGTCGGCGAGTATCCTAACCGCTATGCCACCGACGCACGTACACAGATCTAATAATAGTATTTTTAGTAACGTTATTGAAGCAGTATCACTTCACTTTGGATAAGCTTTGATGAATGTTAAGACTACATATATTGTTTTATAATAACTTCCATTTTCAAAGGGTTAGGATTGAACACACTATTTGACGGTTATTTAAGCCACTTGAGATGTGATTCAAACCCGTGACACAGCAGGCGAAGGTTTAGCACCAAAATCCAGCGATTCACAGCTCTGTTGAAGTCTTGTTGACAAGTACCATTAAGGGAAAGAGAGTATTTCAAAACTGAACTATGGGGCAGTGAATAATTTCTCAATGCAGTGTGTGGCATTTGTAAACTTTATCTAAGTTTATAAATAACACTGAACGTTTTGAGTGTGACTCTAAATTACATAAAATAATTAATTCCCTCAAGGTATATACGACCTAATGTGAAATTTTTTTCCCAAATATTTTGTACTATTCAACAGAAGGAAGAGAATGCGTGAACTGTGGGGCTACAAGCACACCATTGTGGAGACGAGATGGTCAAGGCAATTATTTATGTAATGCTTGTGGATTATATCAGAAAATGAATGGTCAAAATCGTCCATTAATTAAGCCTAAAAGAAGACTGGTGAGATTTTTTGTGTATCTTTCATTTTTTTTCTTTATTTGATTCAGGATAACTTGATACATACTGATGCGATGTTTTAAATAAGCAACCTCTGGAATTGAAATTTTAATCAGCTTATCCTAATAAATGTTTAGACATTTTTTGATTGGTTGGTGGAGGCTGAATTCTTTGAGTCAAGTTTTCAATGTGGATACTGTGCTAGGTGCCTTGGTATCACAATGCGCCCTGAACTGTTGTTATTAGATGGTTTTGACCAATTAACAGGAAGCCTTGCCTGACTTAGTTCTCGCTCCTGTTGGCACTCACCAGTCAGCAAGGCGTGAATCTGCAATCTTCAAGGAACAACTCATGTCCCTTATGAGATTCGTACCTGTATCAGCCAGTGGTGCAGTCAGAGACATTATCATTGACCTCCTGCAGGAATGTGTTACATACATTGATTGGACACTGAGTAGTAAGTAAATGGTGTCATGTGCCTAGTCCTTTATTTGGTTGGTGCAAACTTAATTCTGTCAGCGGTCCAGGAAAGAATGACTAAACCTTTGATGTTGAAGTTGTTGATAATCAACAAAGGTTTCATGTCTTTAGAAACCTTTCAATAAAATATACATCAATACGCTTAAAGAAAGTTTTGGGTTGTCTGTAGTAAAAACCTGCATCATGTAACTCTGAAATAAGGGAAATAATGCTAATTTTCTCAATGAATTAATTAATGGGTAATAGCAAACTGTAAATTTCAAAACTGGAACTGCACTTCACCTGTGTTTGTAAGAAAAATAAACGTCGCAATTAAGCAAATGCGTCAGTAGTCCAGTAGCAGAATATTCGTCAACCACGCCTCACATGGTCCGTGGTCCGATTCCCGATCGACGTACTCTGAAACCTCACTTATGCGGTAGTAAGTTTAATAAAGAGAGAGAAGATTAATCATGAGACTAGCGGCCTGAACCTGTAAAAGCAGCATAAAAGCTACTGGAACACTTTAAAACTCAAGCATGAAACCTTACGCTCTACTTGAAACACAAAAGAATTATTTTTAAAAATATATTTGTGCAGGAACCATTTTTCTGAACGTAATCTGATACTGTAGAGAATTGAAGATCATTCAGAGATTATCGAAAATATAATTATCAAAGGATATGCAGCGTTTGTTCGTTGTTCGTTCAAGTTAATCCTGAGACATTGTCTAGGCGTCAATACTAAGAGCTGGCACCTAAAACGATGGGGGGGGGGGGGAATGCAAGTACATCCGGTTGTTGAGTCCGAATTTAGGTCGAACTACGCATCCTGGATTCCCACTGCTACACGCCATCCACCAAAACTACTTTAAGTATTCAATTCTGCTGAAACTTAGAATAAAAATAAATTTGGACTAAATAAACTAAGTTTAAATCTTCTTTCACCTTTAGAATATCTAAAATGTAAGTTTAGAAAGAAAAGCAGACACATCAGATATGAAATTATGGTAACTGCTATCAATATAAACAACATTTAAGCACTTATCTGTTTCCTAAAAGCTTGTGTGAAGAAATGCGCTTTATCTATTAGAGAAACATGTTCCATCTGTTGCCTAGAAAATAAGAATTACATAAGTAAATTGTAACAGATTTCATGCATCTATCTGCATCCATTTTATTTTGCCATAGTGGCAATGATTATTACAACGAATGTTTCCATTAAAACGTATGCAATAACTATTAATTAATTATTCAATTATCGTAGAATTTATTTCTCATTAATGCCAGGAAATGGATTCATCGGAATGCGCTGTGTGTTTATTTAGACTAAAATCAATTTTTTGCTGTTGACTGTTTCTGTTTGTGATTGGCATATTCAGAATTCGGATGATGAAAGATGCTTCTGCTGACTTCATTAACGCCCTCGAGTTAAATAGACCTTTATGAGCTAGGCTGATGCCGGCATTATATCAGCAGCAAATCCTGTGGCATCTGAAAGTGGTTGAGACTGTAAAAGGGGGTGATGATTGGGGTGAAGACAGAAAACTGAGTTATTTCAGAAATGGTAACTGGGATATGGAATTCCATCACAGACCACTTTGCCCTTTTCTCTCCAGTCGTATTTAGCCGACTCCACGGTTGTCCACAGGCTGTTATCACCTTCATACCACCCTCGGACCCAAGCCAAACTCGTCATTTCCCATTCGAGTTCTACTCGCAAGCTGTCACTCGACGGTTTTTCTCAGTATATGTCCGACAGATCTCCAATTTCTTTGGAATATTTCCTGTGCCATAGATTCTCGATTGATTGGTTCCCAGAGTCTTTCGTTTCTAATTCTTCCCGGGTGACTGCCTGATTTTCAGTATACAGTTGGCAGAGTCATTTGGGATAAAAGTCTTCAGTGGCCTGTTAGAAATGCTTCCCATAACGCGCACTGACTGACTCAATATTAGTATCGAAAATCCAAAACTTTTTCTTTATCGTGAATGCAGCAGGCTTCCAAACTGTTTGCAGAGTGATGAATGTCTATCTTGCCTTTCCGATCTTGGCTGGTTTTAACATGCTCATCCGTGTTGTCGCCCCTAGTTGAAAGGATGCTGCCTGACTGTATAAGTGAAGAAGGTGACCTCGTTCAAATTTCTCCCGTTAGGTGATAGTGATTAGGCAACTTTATCACCTCCTTCTTCTCTCTATGTTCACTTGATGCACTGTCTTCACTGACTGTCACTTCTATCAACTTGTTGGTTTTCTCCTGTAAGTCTTCCGATTTATGTGACAGCAGACAGAGATCGTCCACAGAGTCCAGAATTTTCTTATCGGTCAATCATTGATCACAGATACTTAGAATTCATTGATTTGGAATGTTTGATCATGTTTCCGAGTACGCGTAATATCATCATCGAAAAAAAACATTGACATTTCTCCTCGACTGTATTTCATTTATCCTATCGTTGAATTTAAAGAAACATTTTCCGCTTAAATTAATTTCCGCCAATTAGTTACTAAAAGTCAAAATGAATAGAAATGATCAAAATATTCTGGGGAGGGGATCAGAAGTAACAACGAGTGTTTGTGTATGTGTGTGGATGTGTGCGAAATGTGTTTATTAGACTCAACAATAATAATATCGCATCATACAGAATCATATTCACGCCTGATTGAAATATATTTGACATGTGTTCAACAGGATCTTGTTATCGTATTGTCACGCCTTATTTCCATGCAAACATTACCATATATACATACTGAGGATACATCTTTGACTCAACTTGCCTTCAACTATCCATATCATGTGTTATGGAGTCAATTATTGTGATATTGTCTTCATATTAAGATGGAAGACATATTTTCATTAATACTGATACGATTAATGTTGATATTGCCAGTAATATTATTATTATGAATGACGATAGGATTAATGTCAGATAGAATTTTAAAGCTTTTATTTTCTCTACTTGTTTATATGATCGGGCTTTCCTTGTGATTGAAAACTTTGACGTCATTTGCCTAGAAACTAATGTATATACATATATGAACTCCGAGATGTTAAATAATTGACATACCCCTTTATTACTTTCTGACAAATTGTTACTGGGATTGCGTAATTCCATCGAAACTATGGGAAAAGAATATAGGGGAAAAGATGGTTAAGATCTTGATGATAAAAAGAAGATGTAGAAGATGAGGCAATCATTTTTTTGCATCAAGTCTTATTAATTCAAAGATAGTCCTGTGGAGTTCATAGTTTTTTTAATGAAATATGTAGTAGGATTAGGAGTAGAAGTAGCAGATAAGTTAGTTGGAATCCGGAACACCGATTTCTCATGTGTCAGGTTATGTGTGAAGGCTGATGATACAACTCAGCTGCCTACGCTGAAGTAGCGGGACACAATTCGAACTCGAATGGCTAAGTCAGTGAGCCACTATCTATTTGAATTTAGCCTAACCCTCGAACTAAACCTAATATCTCCCTAATTAGGTTCGGCTAAATCTAACTTATCGTTAGCCTAAAATTTTGACCTAATCTCACCCCCCCGAAACCTAACTTATAACTTTCTAGATAACCCATTTAATGTCATGACACTTCATTAGTCATATTTTATTCATGATTATAATATCATTTACCTGGTTTCACTGGCTGGCTGGTTTCAACATAGAACTTTTCACCGATGTGCAGCAGTTCGAGTCGCCACACTCCCTCTTGGTAGCACACAAAGTCAGAGAAGAAGAAAGTAAAAGGAAACGCAAAATAGAGACAGTAAACAGAGATATGAGGCAAAAAGAATAGTACTATCAAAGAACAAAATAGTTTTATTGGGTATTATAAGTCACAAGGAGTGGATGCATCTGCGCCACTGAGAACGATTTGGAACCATATTACCAATAGTCTCCAGCCTTCATTGGTGTTCACCGTCCCGAGGACCCCAACCAGGAAGCCAATCTACACCTTCCTACGTGGCTGGCTTAAACTAACTATTGTGGATTTCACTGACTAATGCCTGGTTTCACTACCTTGTTTTGACTGATCGTCCTAAGATCATTGGTGCATTAACGCCTCTTCGATGCTTAAAGTTTAACTCACCACTTTATTAATCAAAAGGCTTCTCCAGCTGATATCACTGAGTGATCAAACTTGGAACAAATCAAATCCCTCACATTAACTCTTCAGAATTAGTCCTATGCTTGTTAGTGATTGACTACAGGATGAAGTTGCATACGGTTATAGTGAGAAGTCGTGCCTAGTGGAATCCATCCAGTTGAATGTGAGGAAAACTGTTCGCCGATGACATTGGCTGATGGTAGTGGTAGAATCACCAAGTGGTAAAATTTGGAATTCATGGGTTGACCATTGGATTGGATCCGAGTGACTGAATGATTTATAAGCTTGCTTTGTAACTGGAAGGTTCTGGGTTCAGAAGCCAGTGGGTGCGTACTGCTGAAGAGTCACAAACTAGGCTGAAATAGCTGTGCAGTACTCCCTAATTGTCTTCGATAGTTCTCTAACTGATATCAATCGGTAATCGGACTTGAAACAATATTTCCCTCAACAAGATTAGAATCACTGTCCGCGAAGTTATCTTCGGTGGACTCAGAAGCTAGATTCTGTCACTAACTAGCCAAATGCTTATCTGAATGCTTCTGTAGACTGGATTCATCATTTCATTTATGCATTTGAATTTATTAGATAAAAATAGTCGTCTTGTTTGAGACAGAATCCAAGTTATGTGTTTACATGCGAGATGTAATGTAGTTTAGCTTCTATAGTTTATTATAGTTTACTGATTTATGTAAATATTTATACACCACATAAACTGCCTGTATACAAGTTGCCTAAAACGAATTGTAATTACCAAAATTCTGTTTCTATTCAAAAATATTAAACTAATTCATACCGGTTCCATTTTTAACAGCAATCTTCGAGTAGACGTACTGGTACTATATGCTCCAATTGCCGTACAATAACAACAACATTATGGCGCCGAAATACAAATGGTGAACCTGTCTGTAATGCATGTGGACTTTATTTCAAATTGCATAATGTAAGTAAAAGATTTTTGGTTGTTTGTTTGACTGTTTAACTCTTTTTTAATGAAAAGTATTTGAAAACGGTTAGTCATTCATGTTAGAATACTTAGTTTAGATTATGAAATTTGTAGGAATTTCGATTAATTGAATTTCAGTTTTTTAAATTCGTCAAGAATCAACATCAGTTAATGAGATCTTTAGAAACCACTGGAAAACCTGTGAGTACTGGACATCTGTTTCGTCCTAGGTTGGGACTCTTCATCAGTACACACCTACACTGAGTGGTTCAAACCCAAGACCTACTGGTTACAGGGCGAGCTCGTAGACCACTCAGCAGCCACTGGGACCCGATCCAATGGCCCATGAATTCTAACTTCGGCCAATTGACGACATAGCGCGACCATTTCGCAATGTCTACTTCGATGAGTTACTGCCTCATCTTCAACCTGCTGTACCCTACTGGTCACGGCTTCCCACTAGAACCCCAGGTCACTCACTGCCTGAATAGGGCCAGTCGCTAGTGAGCATCAGATTAATTTTCAAGTATTGGTTTGATAGGGATTTCTTTTGCTTGGATGGAGGATTTCATTGAAAATTCTAACTTTTTATCAATTCGAAATAATTGTAGAACCTGATGATGAATTTATCGAAAAGAGTACTCTTTGTTCCGTGTCTATTCTTTTGAAAATTCGAAATATGCCGCTATACTAGCTAACCAGTGTCATCGGTGAGCAGCCGTTCCAAACTAACATTGTGAACCTCACAGTCAACGACTTCTCATTAGAAAAGATACACTCATCTGATAACTACTGGCCCGTAGAAGAGTCACATTCAGATTTTTAGGTTTTGTAGGGAATTCTACTGGCGACAGTGTTATGTGAGAAGAGTTGACAGTAGTTAGAATTCACGGGTTATTAATTTTACAAAGCAGGGACTGAATGTTATTCAACGGGCTTGCATTCAACTGATGATGGGATCGTTGGTATACATTGTCGAGGAGCTTAAAACTAGGACGAATTAGCTGTCTGTCTGTCTGTCTGGTGATTTTGTTTGAGTCATAGCGTTGGATTGGGTAATTGCTTTTTGTCTAACCGCTATCCAAACAACCTTTCTGGCATGGTAGGATCTCAAGCGACATAAGTCTCAGCCAGTATAGCTTGTTGGGTCATTGCGGTGTTCAAGTCCGACCACCACGTCAAGGTAGCAGCTTTCGGTCGGGAATTAGCTGTCAAGTGTTCCTTAGTTTCCAATAACTAACTGTCTAACTAATGTGTTGCTTCGTGATGACCATAATTGTATCTCCACCTGACTGCATATCTCTTTTTTTCCTACAACGCAAACTATTTCATCAGATATGATTATCAACTTTTTATTTTGATTACTTGTTTGAGAAAAGTATGTAACTCACTTCTTGTTGTTTATACATTTCAAAAATGATAATTTATCAGCTTTTCTACCATACTACTTAAATTGTTCAGATTGTGACTACAGTTTTTTGCTTAACTGTGCGTTCCTTCATATCTTGTCTTTCTTAGCAAGAAAAATCCATACAACAATCTACCTTACAGAATAATTTGTTCATTACGTGTATATATACAAATGTATGTACACTATCCAATACTTTCAAACTTCACGCATTCAACTTTCCTAATAGGCGATTCTAGGAGAGTGATAATATAATAACATATGAATGAAGATGAGATAGAGGTGTGGGTGACCATGAAAGACTGACTGACTGACTGACTGGGTGACTGAGTGAGTGAGTGAGTTAATAACGAGTAAAGTTGGTGTTGGTAGTGGTGGGGGAGGAGAAGGAGTATAATATATGCTCAAAAGTGAGGAAGATAAAATGCAGAACGAAACAAGCAAACACTTTTCACAATATACATTATATCTATATATATATTTACGTATACATATATGATAAAAAGTCAATGGTGTGATAAACTGAAGTGAGGAGTTAACTACCGATTCCCCTCCCTCTTTCTCTCTCTCTCCCTCTGTTGTATCAATTATGAATGCATTATTATTTTTTCCTCGATAGATTTTCTATTGTATTGGGCGGGGCTAATAGAATATAACGATTGTTCAGAGAAAGACAGTGAGTGAGTGAGTGAGTGCGTGAGAGAAGGAGAGAGAGAGAGAGGGGACAGAGAGGGAGTAACACTCACGAAGATGATTGACCAGATGAGAATGACTTATTGACTAATATACTACTACCACTCACTACCTATCCAAACTGAATGGCATTATTGACTGATTAGAAATACTGAAAACAGAAATGCTTGTCGAATAGATGATAATAATAAATAATAATAATAATGGCTATGAAAAATCACGGTATTGATGAATATTTTGAAGGTGAAAGGGAAAAAGAAGCAGCTGGGAGCGAGGTGGAGGCGGGGTGGGGGTGGTAGATGATGAGAGGGAGGTGGATAACACAACATAATTCTGTACATATTAGATTCTGTTAGGATCTTATTTGGGTGTGTCTTGAACAAACTGAGATTTTGGCGCCATTACCAGCTGTGGTGTATGACAATTTTTCGCCCTAATAACATTGATACTACTCAAGAAAATAAAGACTTATCATTATGATTATTAATAAACACATTGATAATGTGGAGGGAGGGAGGGAGAGGAGTGAGTGAGTGAGTTAGTGAATGAATGAATTAAAGTATTTATTGATAAAATAGAATGATAGACAGTGAGCTCTTTAGGCTTAGCACATACACTACAGATACCGATGTTAGGTAGTATACTCAATTTAGAAGAAAAAATCAATTATTTGATGAAATGATGAAAGACAGAAAGTGAAAACTGTAAACAACCTTAATGCATTTTTCCTCCTATTCTGACAACTCTCCAAGTTGAGCATATGATAGACTAATTTATTATAATGTGAACAAGTGTTTATACAGATGTGTTTGTATGCATGTGAGTCTGTGTATGTGTGTGCATGAGTGTGACTTTCTGTCAGTGTAGCCTATTATGCTCGATACAACCTTTTAGAGAGTATAATGGAAAACGATTTAACAAATTTATATTCAATCCTGTAGTGAATTCTGGACATGAAACAAGTTTGGCGTACTGTTTATTTACCAGTCTTAATGTTTTCAAATGTTAGTTTGTAGAGATTTAATTGGTTTCTCTTTATATTGATATCGGTGAGGTTACGGGTGAAAACTTGTGAAAAGTCCCAAACTGGGCTGACTAAACAGCTGCTCAGTACTATCTGCTGGTTTTCAATGATTCTCTAACTGATATCGATCCGTTGGCGGACTTGAAATCACTACTGTGTCTCATTGCTAGTTACTTCCAGATTAAACTATTCCAAACTGAAAAGGTTTTTGTTGGAAATCGAAGTTAAGTGGTCAAGTTAGTGTCCGACGAAAATACCCACTACAGTCCTACAGGAGGTCAATCGCCAGCCCAAATAGCTCAGTAGTAGCGTCTCTGACTGCAGCACTGGGTGACGCGGGTTTGAATCTCAGGAGGGACATCAGTTCCTTCAAAGTTGCAGTTACGCCTTGCTGACGAGTGCCAACTAGCACGAGGTCCAAGGCTTCCTGCCGATTGCCTCCAACTATCTAATATCATCAAATCAGTGTACACCGTCATGGAGAGCTGCCTAGAATGGTGGCCACATTGCAAACTTGACTGATAGAATTGAGTCTGAACCAAAGAAAGAACTAGACACGTCACACTAGTTACTAGTGTCCAATGGAAATAATTGGTCTTATATAAAATACCTCTAAATGTTAGACAATTAACTTTACCCTCAATCATAAATGTGATCTACATGAACCTGTTCATTCATATTATGCTTGTAGCACTAAAGTATAGAAATTAAGTTAAGTATTAAATACCTTGGCATAATTCTTTCTTCCGACCTTTCTTGATCTTCCCATATCATGTCGATTTCTAGGAAAATTTTCCGTCTAACCTCCTACATGAAGAGGTTAAGACAGTCAGAGGGGAGCATTATTCGGCCTCTACTTTGACTACCTCTTACCTCTTTTTCATTATTTATCTCTGTCTTTAGTCTTTCCTGGGCTACCAATCAAAAACGACTATGTCATATTGAGAAGGGTATTAAAGGTTGTCAGTAGGTAGGTGTTCCATTAATTCAGCTCGTTACTACTGTAGTTGACAGACACCTGAACTCATTCTAGAAGTGGTCTAAATCCATACTGTCGGACTGTCAACACCCTCTTTATTCACAGCTGTTCCCTTGTATCTCATGAAGTAGAGGACCCGAAGTCATCATAAACGATTATATGCTCGTATAAACAAGTAAAAATACTCAAAGATACCGTATCTAGGGCGCGTTCTATGTGATAGAAATAGTGTTAAGCAAATAAAGTATAATTTTATTTCAATCGTTTACACACAATGATAAGTTTTCGTTTTTGGTAATATTTTGAGCAAAATTACTGCCCGTGTTCACATTCACTCAAAGAGCAAGAAAGACAAGTTCCCTATTTCATCAGTTGACCTAGATGAATGAAAAAATCTTCATAAATCTATTCCCCCAACCATTCTATCACTTGCAACAAGCTTGATTGATGAAAAGCGAATCATGTGTGGATCAGACAGCAACTCTACATGTCATCATCCAACAGAGTATAGAATGCCAGTCAAATCCCTACCTCAATTTCATCGACTTTGAAAATGCCTTCGGTAACGTTGACTGTGAAGTAATTTGGAGAGTACTTCAACACTATGGAGTGGTTCAAGTCTTTGTCAAACTCATCCACCAGCTTCATGTTAAGTAAAGACATTAGTTAGATAAGGCTGCATTCTGTCACCGATTACATTTCTAATTGTTGTGGACTGGATTATCCGGAAGACTGTGAGGAGCGAAAAGACAGGAATACTCCGGATCAATAAGAAAACTCTAGTAGATGTGGACTTTGCAGGTGATTTGTGTCTAATGTCACATAAATTCCAGGATCTACAGGCGAAAACCAGAAAGTTAGCAAAAGAGACAGGCAGCGAAGGTAGGACTTCA